AAAAAACTGATTATTTTGTGCCCGAAATTCGAAAAAAACGGATTTTGGCAAAAATTGAAATATTTTAAATTGGCATTTTAATCATAACTTGGCCAAAAATGGTCGTAAATATGAAAAAATAACTGTTTTGAGCAGCTAATTACCAAATCTAACCACCCCTGTCACTTTTTGACGGATTTAGGAAAATTAATTTTTCGGTCAATTTTTGCATTTTTTGTAAGGGGTAACATCATCAAAATTTGCAAAAAATGGCAAAAATTTAGCGTTCCCCTTTTTGAACACAGTTCGATTGGAAATTTAATTACGAGCTCAACGGTGTATAACATTCCATATTTAGACAATTATTTTAAAAGTTATGGCAAAAAAACTGATTATTTTGTGCCCGAAATTCGAAAAAACGGATTTTGGCAAAAATTGAAATATTTTAAATTGGCATTTTAATCATAACTTGGCCAAAAATGGTCGTAAATATGAAAAAATAACTGTTTTGAGCAGCTAATTACCAAATCTAACCACCCCTGTCACTTTTTGACGGATTTAGGAAAATTAATTTTTCGGTCAATTTTTGCATTTTTTGTAAGGGGTAACATCATCAAAATTTGCAAAAAATGGCAAAAATTTAGCGTTCCCCTTTTTGAACACAGTTCGATTGGAAATTAAATTACGAGCTCAACGGTTTATAACATTCCGTATTTAGACAATTATTTTAAAAGTTATGGCAAAAAAACTGATTATTTTGTGCCCGAAATTCGAAAAAACGGATTTTGGCAAAAATTGAAATATTTTAAATTTGCATTTTAATCATAACTTGGCCAAAAATGGTCGTAAATATGAAAAAATAACTGTTTTGAGCAGCTAATTACCAAATCTAACCACCCCTGTCACTTTTTGACGGATTTAGGAAAATTAATTTTTCGGTCAATTTTTGCATTTTTTGTAAGGGGTAACATCATCAAAATTTGCAAAAAATGGCAAAAATTTAGCGTTCCCCTTTTTGAACACAGTTCGATTGGAAATTTAATAACGAGCTCAACGACGTATAACATTCCATATTCAGGCAATTATTTTAAAAGTTATGGCAATAAAACGGATTATTTTATGACCGAAATTCGAAAAAACGGATTTTGGCAAAAATGGAAATATTTTAAATGGGCATTTTAAATTTTTGACGGATTTAGAAAAATACATTTTTCGGCCAATTTTTGCATTTTTTTTTATAGGAAAATAGAGTTCCCATTTTTAACGAGCTCAGCGAGGTATGACATCCCATATTTGGACTATGATTTCGATCTATTTGGCCAAAAACCTGTACATGAATACAACAATTTGCTTGATCCAATACAGAATGTATATATTATATGCATTCCAACTTGTCGCCATATCGATGCTTTGGGGGAAGTGTCGCGGCCTTCTAGCTCCACTTGTCGCATCCAGGCATCCCTATGCAGCGCTTAGTTTTTGGGGCAGCGACAACAAGACAGACGATGACCTCCTTCTGCAATTACAGGCTGTGGGACTGGGTCCTCCTTTCGCCGTAGCCCCCCTGAAACTGAAGACCCCTCTCGAGGGGTGGCCCATAACTTTTGTCAAGCATCGCGGCCATGTTGCAGCATGCCGCACAGCGAGGGTTGCACTCAGAAATGTTGCTGATGGTCAGCTGGGGAATGCAAAAAGCGTGGGGACGGAGTGGAATGGTGAAATTGGCGAAAACTGCACTGTCAACTTCAAGAGAAAATGTTGCATACAACGTGTAGCAAGCAAAGTGGAATCACACTTTTGGGCCAACCCAGTAAATATTATATTTCAGCTATAACGTAATGCAAAAGCTTGATTTGCAACAAATATAGCACTAAAAGTAAAGATATTTGCATACAATAATATAATACTAATATTTCAATGGATAATTCAGTATTTTAACTACTATTATTGTTATACATTTTTAGACAGTTGTTTTACTTGAATGTTATTAACTGAGGATTTTTATTGTAGTGCACTGTTAGCTGGCCGACTTGCTGACTTGATAGTTTTCTTTTTTTTGCCTTCTGCTGGCCGACTTTTTTGCAGTCTCTGTCTGTTTTGGCGGATATGCGCTCTTAGCGAAAATTGCATTTGGCCAAATGAGTGGAGCGGCCAAAGAAGGAGAAGAAGCTGGAGGTGGGAAGTGGAATCTCTTAGGAGTAAGGACCCAAAAAAGAAAAAAAACAAAAAAAACCAAAGTCCAAGACGACTCTTAATATTTCATCTTTCATGCTCATTTGCACTTATGCGGGGACCTCTGTGGGAAATGGGGGCTGGAAAATGGGGTTTTCCAAGTGGGTGGCGTGTGGGTGTTGGGGAGAACAATGGTAGGACCACACGCCGTGTAATCAAAAGAAAATGTGGCCGCTTGCCGATGTTCTTTTTGCACACTTGCAAAAATGGAGGTCTTTTTGAGGCAGATTTAAATGCTTAAGAATTCAGACTATCCTTATAAAACATAAAACAATAAAAACCCATAATAACGACAACGTATTCATATTTCTTATAGATAATCTCGTGATACTATATCATTAGGAAATTGAATTTCAACGAATATCCTTGCCGACTTTATCCTCTTAAAGCGCTATCGGATGTTATTTTCGAGCTGTGCAATTCTCTGGCGGGTCCTTGCTGTCTGTCGCCCCTATCCTTGGAATTTCGCAGGTTTTCCCATTGACGATGTCTTCAGGAATTGGGGAGTTGGACGTTGCAGGGAGTTGGACGTCGGACGTCGGACGTTTACCGTTGGATGAGGACGGCACCTGCTGCGAGTTATTTACAGCCACTGGAGGGCATTCCTTTCTTTCCTTGCTTCCTCCACTACGGAGTATTTTTTTAACATTTTCCACAGGAGCGGGAGCAGGAGCAGGAGCAGGTCGTCCTTGTACAGCTATTACACATTGCCGGAAGCGTTTGAATGTGTTTATGTGTAAGCGTCTATCGCTCAAGTTGCCTGCTGGCCTCTCTCTCTGCAGCCCTCTATCCCTCTCTTTCTAGCCTCCATTCTCCAGCTGCTTTCCATAACAGCAACTAAAATGTTTCCGTTATTAAGCTAAAGAAACACTTAACTTTGCGCCAGGATCAGCAAGGACGTCAGGTGCAATGAATAGAGAGGGCGGGATAGGAAAGAACGAGAGGGTCGGATACAAAAGAATGAGACGGCCGGAGGAAAAAGAAAGAGAGGGTCTTGGAGTTAGGACCATGCAAGAATGCACGAAACTTTGTAGGTGTTTAAAACGTTAATTTGCTATAGATTTTATAGGAGTTTCATTCCTGTCTCACTCGCACTCCTCTGTAAGTGTGTGAGTGTGTGAGTGATTTTCGCATTAACGCGTGCTACTTTAGCGGTTCGAGTCAGCGGAGCACAAAAAACTGCTCATTTTCCCCGTTCTTCGTTTCCCTTTTTTCCACCTTTGTTTGCTTGCCCAGAAATTAAGGGCAATAAAAGCAAATAAAGCCCACACACTGTTTAAATCGTTTAAGTTGTTTAAGCACTGCATTTTAAGGACTTAAGATCAAGGATATATCATGTCTGCAAAGCTCAATGAATAATAACAAATTTTCCCTTTTGTGCCCTAAAAGATAAATGTTGTTAAATGCTTTCAATGGCTTCAAAAATGCAAAAATATAAATTAATATTCAACGTTTGCAATCAAAAAGGTGTGACCATATGCGGCTAGGAAACCATTTAGATAACAGTACTGCTCCTTTAGAATTTCATTTACATTTCTGCTATCTGTCCTGCTCGAACACTTGACCAAAAGCCACACACATTCCCTTGGCCCTCTCTGTCCCACACCGCTACTCCTTGAAATCAACTTTCATAATTAAATGGCGAGTCCGAACTTTCCTCTCCCTCTCTCTCTCTCTCTCTGTCTCACTCCCTCCCTCTCCCACACACGTGCATGCATAAAACAATTTAACACTTAACGTGGCCAGGAGCTGGAAATAAAAAGCGCATAACTCATGCGAAGAAGTCGGCGGCGGCAGCGACGCCGGCAGAGGCGACGACGCCGCCATAAATTTCAAAAACAGCTACAAAACAGGAAGCAGCAGGCGGAGCACCAACAACAACAACAACAACAACAGCAAGAGGGGCAAGGAGCAACGGGAAAGGCAAGAACAACTCGAGTGGAATGTACAACGGGATAGCTGCACTCAGGGAAAAAACGTACACATGGAAAATATTAGCAGTGTGGGATTGAGTAATGCAAGCAGCTAGCTTAATTTCAATATTATTTTAATTTAATAATTTAATTGTTTTTTACATTGTTGTGTAATTGAGCAACTAGAGCCCATCGTTTTTACCAGTGTAGTGAGGGGGGCGCGGAGGGGTCGGGGGCACGGCCGCAATGGACTGCAAAAATATTAACTACCTTTTAGAAAAAAGCGGGGCAAGCTGACGTCAAGTTTTGTAGAAAATTATGTTTTACAATGCGAAAATTGAATTTCACTTTATTGTTTTCTGCTGCATGTTCTTGTTCGACCATTTTCTATTTTCCTTTTTCTCGCATTTTTACTTTACGATTAACTGTTAAATGCAGCCGACTTTTCGCCGTTTTGTGGCTGCAAGTCAACGACTTTTCCATATGTGTTGTTTGCCTTACTTGTTATTTTTTTATGCAGCTTACAAGAACATGGCCAAAAGCGGCTGGCTGCCAAATTGAACGGAAATATTTACTACAACGCTGCTGGTTGTAATAAAAAAACCGCTCTTGAGACTTATGTTCCTTTGAGAAACTTCGGCGGATTACGATGAACTCGCTTAAGCACTCAGCTTAAGTAACTAAGTATCTATATTCTGTCTGGTAAATGGAATATTTGCTGGGCGGCATAAATAACGTCGCTTAAAGTGCAAGGACACTATTTTGTTACACAGTATTATTTACACAGGACACTTTTTCCAAGAATTGCTCACTGCTGATTAACCCTTAGGCTGTCGGCTGTCACGTCTCTCGAAAATGATTGCATACATTCAGGCTGCGTTTATTTTATAACACTAACAAAACACTAGGAACTAGTTAAGTTACTCGCGCACAGCGATACCTCTCTCTCTCTGTCTCTCTCTCTGTCTCGGTCTCTGTCTCTCCGCTGTCGCTCTCTCGCTCGCTCGCGCCGCCAGCTGTTCGTCCAGAGGCGCAGCATAAGGGGGCTCTGAGCGCCCGGACTGACCTTGGCCGCCGCCATGCGCCCCACCCCGCTCAGCCAGTCGGCCTGCCGCCGCTGCACGTACGGCGGCTGGGGGGCGGTGCGGAAGTAGAAGCTCCCCCGCGCACGCCGCTGCGAATGGATCCCGAAGCGCGCCTTCCGGTTGCCATCGCAAAATCCGGCGGAGAACTCCCGGTTGCTGCCGCACTCGCTGCCCACGAACGGGTACTCGGGATCCATCGACTGGCGGAAGAAAATGGCAGCCGCCGAGTGGCTGCAGGAAACGGGATCTGGCGAGTGATAGTGTTGGAAAGGGGCATCAGTAACATATCATATTGTATCACTCTATGTTGCGGGGACATGACTTACTGGTATTCTGCATGTCGCGCAGATTGGCAAACATCTTGCAGTTCGGCTGCGGCGCCCTACCGCCATTGGGATAGAAATCGGCGTGACCGCACTTGAGATTGGTGCCCAGGGAGCCGCCGGAGGTGTGGAGCACCTGGACGAACTGGGCATCGCCGGGATCCAAGCGGTACTTGGGCGCCACCTCGGCGGGCAGCGAGAACAGCGGTCCGGCGGGATCCAGCCCAATGATCTGCTCCACCTGACCCTCCAGCACGGCGCCCGCATAGCCGGCGGCATGGGCACCCAAACTATAGCCCGCCAGGGTCACGTTGCTGCGGTGAAAGTGATTGGGACGCAGCTCCTCCAGGGCCATGATGATGCCGGCCACCGTCAGACCCACATCGAAGATGGACATGGAGGCGGACTTGTAGTCGTTCTGCGACAGGTTTCCCCAGTCCACAACGCACACGTTGTAGTTGGCGTCGAAGAGGGTCCAGGCTGGGCATAATGGAATCCCAATTATATAAGCATTCCATGGATGAGGAGTACTCTATGGATACATACTCAGCAATAGTTCTTGCACCCAATCCTTGCTGCCCTGATCATTCCAGCCGTGCAGAAATAGAGCCAGCTTCTTGTTGGGATCCAGGCGGCGGAATCCTCGAAGGTCTCCAAGCTGCAGATTGAAGTGCACTTCATTGCCGAAATCCTTGGCCGATCTGCAAAGGAATGGGAATTTGTTATGGAAACATCATCAACAACTCCATGGATTACAACACCCAAGCCCACTTACATGGTGCGGCACTCGAAGACGATCCCGTGATTGAGGTGGGCACGTTCCAGGCTGTTCCGGAGCATGGTCTCCTGCAGATAGCGGAAGGCCTTCATCATGGGACTCCAGCGGTGGAAGGCCTCGGTGCTCGGCACATCGCCGAGCAGGCAGAGCAGGCAGCCAAGGAGCAGCAGGTGGTTCACGTGACCGGGCATGCGGTCAAAGGGTCATGCGCCACCGAAAGCCACACGGAAAACTCCACACACACACACACACACACTGTTACCACCAGAAAAAAAAAAGTGGAGGAGCGAAGAATTGGGGGAGTGATCCGAGATCAAACACGGAACGGAAGACACGCTCTTCTGGACCGAATGGTTTGCCCCGTGGCTGGCTACTGAAGAACCGACTCGCTTGTAACTCCCAAAGAGCCGTGAAGACGATGATCACCATGCCGCTGATGATCGTGATGCAAAGGTACACTGGCGAAAACTGCGAGCGCGTCCAGTATTGTTCTGAAGCAGACTAGAAGCGATATTTAAAAGATGTATAATTAATTGTTCTAAATAGCTCTTCCAATTTTTATGAGCCAACTGATTTCGATTAAACACCTCCAGCGGCTTTGAGACTTGGGGGAGCCCATGTAGTGGATTGCGTGTATTTTCGCGCAGTGCATGGGATGCTGATGACTCTTTGGCGTTCTTGGCCGCGTGTTTGCACAAGTGAAAGTACAAAACGCTTGTAACTTTTTGACTTCGATTTCGATTTCTTTCGGCTGGGAATTCGGAACTCGGTATTTGGTGTTTGCTGTTTGGCATTCGGTATTCGGCACTCGGCACTCCACTGATCTTGACATAGTAGCCAGCCAACGGTAGCCACGAATTTCTGACTTGTCACGGCTGTTCCTTATGGCCATAGTTTACTCTGGCAGCTGAGCAAACCGCAGCGCACCGAAATCAATAATAAAACCGAAAGACGGCGGCGCATTCAGGCCTCATCTCGGATCGAATAGGCTCATTTTAGTGCAGTCATAAAGTTGGGAGGGAGTTGGTCTGGGCACACGCTTTCTCGATGCACTGAGAGAAAGGGAGTTGCTAACACCATGGAGGTAATCTTATGCGAAAGAGATACAAGATTTACCTGCTGGATAACCATTTATTTATTTACTGATTTGTATTATTTTACTGGAGTGGCTATCGAATTTTTGCCAGTGCTGGACGGCAACCCAAATGGCGGAGAACTTACAAACTTTGACCCAAAACGCAGTTTTTTATGTCGCGCTCATAAAATATGTTCAGCTCACAAGAGATAAGCCATTAAATAATGCCGCCCTCATTATTTTTATCTTTCTTGGCCGAGCTTTCTAACCAATATGTGTTAAACGAAAGCAAAGAGAGAATAACGCTAATGATGCGCAAGTAAAGTGCCAAACGAATTTCGTTGTCTTCGCCCCATTGTTTTTCATCTAAACCTTGGGAGAGCCCCAAAGCTTCGTCTTCCAATCGTCCACTATCTCTACTTATATTTCTATTTCTATTTCCCCCTTTCTTCTGGGCTTGTTTTTGGCGATTTCTGCTTTTGGCAGTCGTTCCATTTGCATATCTATCTGTGGCTTCTTCTGCTGTCCACCTGTGTTTCTGTTTATCTGGCCTCAATGTCAACTTTATGTTCAACACTATCAATCCGGCCGAAAAAACTGGCTAAGGCCGTTCAGATTGGAATGTATCCCAGTGATTGGGTATTAAAATGATTGGGATAAATGCCTAAATGAAAGCTCGACAAAGAGCCATGCTAAAATGGATGATGAACGGAAAGAACTCTGGACATTGGGTCTTAAAACATTTGTTTGTTTTATGTTTTGGCTAGGAAGATATTAAAGCAATGTAATGGAATTCATAGATTCAATGTGCTTCTGGGCGAAGTGGGACAATCGCTTTTCCGATTAAATATTCATGAATGATCAAAAGTTTTTTGTGCCCGCCCCCAAATGCTCGCCGAGTTTCGCAGCCATTTTCTTGGGGCTTCCTTCCATGCACTTTGGAGTTTGGCTCTCCTTTGTTTTGGCCATTTTCCTCATGTGTCTCTATCATTAAGGCAGAGTTTTTTTTTTTTTTTTTTTTTAAATGTTTATTATTATAAAGCGACGAATCCGTACATGCAGTACTAGTACCATAACATTGCAATTAAACATATAAATAATATAACCAAACTTCTCACTTATCGTGGGAAGACTAACAACAGAGTCTCAAACGTCGAGGGGGTCTTTAAAGCTGTCCAATTGTTTTGGCAAAGCCCTTTCTTTTAAGCCTTCTTAGAGGCCTGGCAGGGAGTAGGCGTCTTGCTAGCATGCTGTGGTGTCTTTTAAGCCTATCACTGTATCTGCTTGTGTGCCTTGAGATCTGTTCTTCCACTGTATGCAGATTAAGGTCCCGATGAAGGGTTGAGCTACGTACATAGTATGGGCAGTTGGTGATGGCACGCATTGCACGATTTTGCAAGACCTCAATGCGTTTATAGTTCGATTTTGCAGCAATACCCCAGATCTGCACTCCATATAGCCAGATCGGGGCTATACAGTGGGCGTATACTGCCCTTTTGGCTCTAAGTGTCATGGTGCTTCTTCTGTTGATCAACCATCGCAGTTGTTGCATTCTCTGACCGCATCTCCGTGCCGCAGCTTTTAAGTGTGGGCCAAAGGTCAACCGTTTGTCAAGGGTGATCCCAAGGTATTTAGCCTGCAGAGGTTGTTCTAGGGTTACGCCATCAAATTGTATGGGTGGTGTGCGCCTAATGAGAGTCTTCAAGGTGAAACAAGGATTGATGGTCTTATGTGGATTTACCTTTAAGTTCCATCTTTTGCACCATGCAGCCAAAGTATTGAGATACTCTTGGAGGCCACGTGCTGCCTCAGTGCAAGAACTGGAGCTGTATAACAGTGCGATATCGTCAGCGTAAGTGGCGAGTAGGGCCTTCCTGGGAGCTTCCATATGGTGCATATTTGGGCAAGGCAAATCCGCGGTAAATATTGAGTAGAGCAGCGGGCCGAGGACGCTGCCCTGCGGAACTCCAGCTCTCATGTAGCAAGGGGTTGAGTAGGTGCTTCTGACCCTGACCATGAACTTCCTATCTTCCAGGTAAGATTTCAGGACTCCATAGTATGGTGCTGGAAGCAGCTTTTTTATTTTGCAGAGTAGGCCGATATGCCAGACTCTGTCAAATGCTTGCTGCATGTCAATAAATACAGCATTGCAGTATTCCAAGTCGTCAAACGCCTGAATAATGTGCTTAACCAGTCTGTGAACCTGCTCCACAGTGCTGTGTCCCTGTCGAAATCCAAACTGGTGATCTGGGAGGATACGGCGCTCCTTAATAAAGTCACCTAGTCTGTTGGCAATCAGCCTTTCCCATATCTTGGATAGCGAAGACAGCAGACTTATGGGCCGATACGATTCCGGATCCTCTTCAGGTTTCCCAGGCTTATGTATCATGAGAATTGCTGCCATTTTCCACTGCTTTGGGAAGGACTGCACCCTAAATATAGCATTAAATATTTTCGCCATGTATAGGATGGCTCGGAGAGGTAGCGCTTTTAACGTGGCATTACAGACATTGTCGATGCCAGGAGTCTTCTTTATTGGCATTGATTTAATGACTTCGGCAATTTCCTCAACCCTGATTGGTTTAATTGGTAGCGACATTTGTAGGGGTATCTCTAGGCTGTCAAGCGTCTCTCGATTCTGCTCCATTGTAGCGAATTGGTAATGGGTGAACCTAGTCTCCAAATGATTTGCAAAGGAATTGGCCTGTTCCTCCTCGTTTTTAGCAAGTTCACCTCCCGGGCATCTAATGGGTACCTGTCTGAACGGTTGTCTTTTGAGGGATTTGGTGGACTTCCAGAGTGAATACCCAGCATCCACCGTATAGTCCATAGAAGCCAGCTTCTGCTCAAAAAAGATACTTCGAAGGTCTCTTACCACATTTCGTAGTTGTTTTGCAGCACGGTTCCATAAGATGCGGTCCCAGGGATCTTGAGATCGGATTGCTCGCCTTCTGAGTCTCCTTTTCTGTGTCAGGAGCTCTCTAGCCTCTCTTGTTAGGGATATTCCATAGGGGGTGCCTGTCCGAGGAACAGAAGGCGTAGATGCAGTCGCAGCCCTGTGAATACTTTGCGTAAGGTGATCAACAGCCATTTCAATTTCTTCACCAGAATTTAGCGTGATGTTCAACGGGATCATGCTCTCCAGTTGTTGACTAAAAGCGAGCGGGTCAGTGTGCTTGTTGACTAATCGTGGACTTGGATTCACATGGGTACTATCTGTCACAATACTGATGATCAAAGGCAAGTGATCGGAGTCCAGATCCCAACTTTGTGTTATACTTGTTAGGGAATCTGGTATACCATGATGCACCGCGAAGTCAATGCAGGAAGGCGTATGACTGGGTACATAAGGATACCTGGTTGGCGAACCAGTTGCAAGTATCTTAGCTCCAGTGATAGAGATGGCTTCCGCTAGCTCACGCCCCCGGGGTGAATTGTAGGTGTCGCCCCAAAGCCAGTGTCGGGCGTTCCAGTCGCCACCAATCATATACCGTTGGCCGCAAGAGCGTATTGTGTCAGTAAATTGTCTTTCGTCGATACTAACACTGGGAGGACAGTAAATGGCGCCGAACTGCACGTCACCCAGTCCTGTAGCTACTTTTACTGTAGACATTTGTATGCTGCGTGTCTCTATGACCCTTTGCGGGAAATGGCGAAGAGTTGTCCTAACGAACACGGCTGCTCCACCAACGCTATTATTATTTTGCGATGGCCTAAATGCTGGATAGAAAGCATAACCATATATCTTAACAGTATCCCCTCTTTTAATTCTAAGTTCCGTCACAAGAAGAATGTCCACGCTATTATTGTGCGCGTAAAGCTCAATATCTTTAGCTTTTCTTGAAATGCCGTTGGCATTCCAAATAAGAATCTTTAGTGGATTCATTGTGGGTGTGGAGCGTTGTTAGAAAGCTGGTAGGTATGTTCATTCCCAGCTCCTTGCTTTAACATGGTGGTTATTTCAAATACCATTCTTTCGAGCTTTTCAAGTCGTTGATTGGTTTGATTTCTGTGATGTTGCTGATCTTGTTGCTGCTGTTGCAACCACATAAGAAACTGATGTTGTTGTTGTTGTTGCATTTGCTGCTGCCATTCTTGGAACTGTTGTTGTTGCTG